AGCATGGCCACAAAACCATCAGCATGGCCACACAACCATCAGCATGGCCACAAAACCATCGGCATGGCCACAAAACCATCAGCATGGCCACACAACCATCAGCATGGCCACAAAACCATCAGCATGGCCACACAACCATCAGCATGGCCACAAAACCATCAGCATGGCCACACAACCATCAGCATGGCCACAAAACCATCAGCATGGCCACAAAACCATCGGCATGGCCACAAAACCATCAGCATGGCCACACAACCATCAGCATGGCCACAAAACCATCAGCATGGCCACAAAACCATCAGCATGGCCACACAACCATCAGCATGGCCACAAAACCATCAGCATGGCCACAAAACCATCAGCATGGCCACACAACCATCAGCATGGCTACGACCTACACCACAGCCACACAACCATCAGCATGGCCACACAACCATCAGCATGGCCACACAACCATCAGCATGGCCACAAAACCATCAGCATGGCCACACAACCATCAGCATGGCTACGACCTACACCACAGCCACACAACCATCAGCATGGCCACAAAACCATCAGCATGGCCACACAACCATCAGCATGGCTACGACCTACACCACAGCCACACAACCATCAGCATGGCCACACAACCATCAGCATGGCCACACAACCATCAGCATGGCCACAAAACCATCAGCATGGCCACACAACCATCAGCATGGCTACGACCTACACCACAGCCACACAACCATCAGCATGGCCACAAAACCATCAGCATGGCCACACAACCATCAGCATGGCTACGACCTACACCACAGCCACACAACCATCAGCACGGCCACACAACCATCAGCATGGCCACACAACCATCAGCATGGCCACAAAACCATCAGTATGGCCACACAACCATCAGCATGGCCACAAAACCATCAGCATGGCCACAAAACCATCAGCATGGCCACACAACCATCAGCATGGCCACAAAACCATCAGCATGGCCACAAAACCATCAGCATGGCCACGACCTACACCATGGCTACAACCTACAGCATGGACACAACTTGTAGCACAACCAGACAACTATCAACACGGCCACCCAACCACCCCTAGAGCCACACAACCACGGGCATGGAGACACAATGATCAGTACAGCCGCACAACATCGGCACGGTGGCCTCACTCCTCACCCCTCGGCCGCTTCCTTTTCATGGTCTGGCGTCGGGATGAAGCCAGGTCCCGCTGTCCTCTCCCCCTCAGCCCCGGTGTTACACAACGCAGGGACCCCGTCCCCAATTACCAACACCCCGAGAGGAGGTGTGAGGGTGACCTGTGCCCCCCACACCCCGCAGTCAGGGGTCACCCTCAGCCCGCCGCCATCTGTTCCCCATAAACACCTGCAGAACTGCACCGGGGCCTCCACGGAACAGCGCCGAGCGCCCTGAGGAGCGGAGCTGCCGGGAGCCCCCGGGCCACAGCGCACCCATCCATCACTCCTGAGCACACGTCAGCGCAGGATGTGCGCGGCCTCGGGGGAACCGGGCAGGAATTTCCCAAGCTGAGGGGACACGGTCGGGATCACGGCGCTCCGGGACCACCCCACGTCCCGGTGCAGACAGACGGACAACCGGGATGTCGGCTCTGGTTGCCTCATCCCTCATCTGCGAGCTGCCCCCGTTCCTGCAGCTGAAGGGGATGATGGAGAGCGATGTGGGGGGGACAGCAACATCTCAGGGCACGGGGTGCTGAGCCCAGCACTGAGCTTGGCATGGATGCTCCCATGCGGTGCCAGACAGAGGTTGGAACTGACCTCCAAGATCCTCAAGCCCACCCCGCCATGTCCCCAGGTGCCACATCTCCACAGTTACTGAACACCTCCAGGGATGGTGACCCCCTCCCCCCCCCACGCTCCTGTGCCGGTGTCTGACTCCTCTCTAGAGAAGAAATTGTTCCTAACATCCAACCTGACCCTCCCCTGGTGCCATGTGAGGCCATTCCCTCTCATCCTACCGCCGTCCCCAGCAGCCAGATAGGGGACGTGTCGGGGACTCAGGTGGCTGCACAGCACATGGTGCTGGGACAGACAGAGGGGACAGGGCTGCAGAGACCTTTGTGGGGCAGCTTGGCTTTCTCAGAGCCGTTTCCCTGCACCTGGATGCTCCCATCACCTGGATGCTCCCATCACCTGGATGCTCCCGTCACCTGGGCGCTCCCCTCTATGTGGGTGCTCACCTCACCTGGGTGCTCCCCACACCTGGGTGCTCCCCGCAGCCCCACGCGCACGGGGGCGAGCTGAGGGCACAGCTGTGCACTCACAGCAGCGTTTGCTGCAGGCGAGCTCGGCCGTGTTTACAACATCCCGGGCTGCGCTGGAGCTGAGACGCGCAGACGGAGCGTCTCTTCCACAGGCAGCTCAGCTCCGCCAGGCGCTGCGGACTCTCAATGCAGGAATCCCTGGGTGAAGTTCTTGCCAGGATCTCAACGAGCCTGGGACGCGTTCCCTGCACACAGCAGCTCCGGGGGCCCCGCAGATGCACGGAGGTGCTGCCCCGACGCTGCTGTGAGCACCGAAACAGGCACCGTGCCGCGCAATGCAGCCAGGATGGATCCCCCCCTACTGACTCACCCCATCCCCAGAGCTGTGTCCCCAGCTCTGCCCATCCCGGGGGCAGGGAGCGAAGCTCCACGTGCCATCGGTGCCAGCGTTGATGGCAATGTGCATCAAAACCCAATAGGGACACACAGCCATGGGGACGCGCACAGCCTGTGGGGCAGATCCAGGTCCCGTCCCGCCCCCCCAGGTGATGTGGGGGATCCCCTGAGCTGCAGCCCCACGCCTGGACGGTGCCCCCTCCCAACCCACGGTGCCGGCAGTGCATGGAGGGGGGGGGTGCGGAGCGCTGGAGGCAGTGCCGTCACTCAGCGCACGTCTGGAAGTTGTTCTTGGATGGGCCCTGGGCATTCCTAGACGCACATTCCTGGCAGCTGGAGAGCGTCGTAGGAAAGATTCTTTGCTTGAAAATATCCGGTCCACGTGGAGGAGAGGAGGGGATGGGGAGAGCTGCGCCACGGCACCCTCTGTGCCCCGGGGTTTGGGGGTCAGCAATGGGGTGAGAGCTGCGTCCCATAAGTGAGCAGGACTCTGTGCCCCAGGGCTGGGGGCTGCCCCTCACCCAGGCAGGGTGCCTGCGGGGTCCTGCACTGGGGGTGGTGCCATGGGGCTGGGGGTTCAGGGGGCTGCGGGAGAGGCACTCCCATAAATGGGCTTACATAGAAAGGACACGGAGATGGGGCAGGGAAACCCTCAGGAGCAGGGCAAGGCCGCGGGCAGCAGCCCCTCTGCCATCATTTGGGGGCACTGGAGCCAAACTTCCAGGTAATAAAACTGTGGCAGGAGTTGGAAAGGACGAGAGGGGGGGGGGGATTTCAGACTCTGCTCTGTGCCGGGGTGGTGGGGGTGGCCAAAAGGGTGCAATGCAGCATCAGGATGTGGCCAGGAGTGGGACGATGGTGGCCAACGGGATGGGATGGAGCAGTGGGACGCAGCCAGGAGTGGGACAGCAGTGGCCAAAACGGGATGGGATGGAGCAGTGGGACGCAGCCAGGAGTGGGACGGCCGTGGCCAATGGAATGGGATGGAGCAGCGGGGCTCAGCCAGGAGCAGAGCTGGGGGTGGGACGCAGCAGTCCCGGTGCCAACCCGGCTGATTCTGGAGAAGGGAGATGTGAGCCAGCGCCGGGGCTGGTGCTTTGGCCGCGTCCCACTGCTGAGCGTCACCTGCAGCAGCACTGCTGCATTCCCACCCCCCGTAGGGAGGAGGGCGGCAGCCTCTGCTTCCTCCTCCTCCTCCTCCCGGCTGCGGGGGACGGGCTGACGGGCAGACAGACAGACGGACGTGCGTCTCTCCGGGAAGAACAGTGCAGGGAAAAGCGCCCGGTGATGGCGCAGGGACGGAAGGTGCCGGATAAAAGAAGGATCGTTAGCGGAGCTAAACGAAAGCAGATGCCTGCGGGAGCCGGGGCTTTCCAAAGCACACCCCGAGCGCTCGGAGCTGCCGCGGGGACACGGCACGGGGGGGTTGGGCACAACAAGTGGCAAAGCCCCTTCCCGGTGGGGTCAGGAAGCTGCTTCACCGGCGCAGAGCACAAAGAACCGCGCTGCAAAGCCGCGGTCCCGCAGCGCTGCGCACGGATGGGGCTCAGCCCACACTCCCGTGCACATCGGGGCAGTGCGGCTGAGGGTCTCCTGCCCCCTCCTCACGAAGCACAGCCACGCAGCACCCGCGTGGCTCCGAACCGTCCCATAAATGCGCCTCAAAGAACTGGGCAGCTCAGAGGCTGCACCCGGAGCGCTACTGAGCTGACGTTTGGGTATGGGTACCTCCGGAATCTCCCCCCGCAGCGCCGAGCTGCCCCACAGCACCGGATTCTTTTGAACCGCAGCCGTTGGGGCCATTTGGGAGGCAGCACGGCGGGCGGCCCCCGAAGGGTTAATGTCTCCTCTCTGCCCCATTAGCACCGATACGGTCACAGTGAGGGGGAGGCGGGGAGGAGCCTCCCCGGGGTCCCCCCCAGCAGCCCCAGCCCCCTGACCCCGGGGTGCAGGGATGGCTACGGGTACCCCGTGTGCAGGCAGCGTCCGTGCCTCACACTTAACGGGGCCGGGACCCCCCTCACGCTGTGGGGGGCAGGAGAACCGCCCCCCCGCCCCCCATAGCCATACCCACACTTCGGAACCCCGTGCCCCGGCAGGTGATACACAGCGGGCGCTCCGGGACTCGAGGAGGGGAGGGGGAATGCTACGGAAGGGTTAAACCCCCCCGGGCAGCGCAGGTAGGCCGAGCCTGCGGGGCGCGGGGCGGCGCCTGGCTGCCCACCGCCCTATAAAGAACCGCGCTCCGGCCCCACTCGCGCCTTAGGATGCACATGGTGCCGGCGGGGGACGCCGCGGCCGTGCGCGGTCCTTGAGCCGTCGGACGCGCGGGGGTACGGGGACCCCCTCCGGCAGCGAGCTGCCCCCCGGCGGCGCCGGGGCTGTGGCATGCGGCGGGGCTGAGGGCGGCGGTGCCGGCGGTGCGCGCGGTGCCGGCTGCTCGCCATGTCCTTCGCCATGCTGCGCCCCGCGCCCGGCCGTTACCTGTATCCCGAGATCAGCATGCTGTCGGAGGACGAGGAGAACGGCAGCGAGAGCTCGGGCTCCGACGAGAAGCCCTTCCACCTGGACGCCGACGGCTTCGGCATCAAAGCCGGCAAGAGGAGGAGCGGCAAGAAGCCCGGGCGGCTGCACCGCGAGCCCCGGCAGCGGCACACGGCCAACGCGCGGGAGCGCGACCGCACCAACAGCGTCAACACCGCCTTCACGGCGCTGCGCACCCTCATCCCCACCGAGCCGGCCGACAGGAAGCTCTCCAAGATCGAGACGCTGCGCCTGGCCTCCAGCTACATCTCGCACCTGGGCAACGTGCTGCTGGTGGGCGAGGCGTGCGGCGACGGGCAGCCCTGCCACACCAGCCCGGCCTTCTTCCACCACGGCGGCGGCGGCAGCCCCCCGCCCCGCGACTCCGAGAACTCCCAGCCCAAACAGATCTGCACTTTCTGCCTCAGCAACCAGAGGAAGCTGGTGAGTGGCTGCGTGCGAGGGCCCGAGGGGTGCGGGGATGAATGGGAGTGCGGTGGGACCCGAGGTTTGGGTGCGGGAGTGTGGCGGAACGCAAGGGTTGGGGTTGGGAATGCGGTAGAAGCCAGAGGTTGGGGCACAGGAATGTGGCAGAACCCGAGGTTTGGGCATGGAAATGCAACAGGACCCGAGGTTTGGGCATGGAAATGCAACAGGAGCCAGAGGTTTGGGCATGGAAATGCAACAGGACCCGAGGTTTGGGCATGGAAATGCAACAGGACCTGAGGTTTGGGCATGGAAATGCAACAGGACCCGAGGTTTGGGCATGGAAATGCAACAGGACTCGAGGTTTGGGCATGGAAATGCAACAGGACTCGAGGTTTGGGCATGGAAATGCAACAGGACTCGAGGCTTGGGCATGGAAATGCAACAGGACTCAAGGTTTGGGCATGGAAATGCAACAGAGCCCGAGGCTTGGGCATGAGAGTGTGGCAGACCCCAAAGTTTGGGGGCAGAAATGCGTCAGAACCCAAAACTTGCACATGGAAACACAGCAGAAGCCAAGATTTGGGCATGGAAACGTGGCACAACCCAAAGTTTGGGTATGGAAATCTGACAGAACCCAAGGTCCGGCTGTGGAGACACAGCACTTCCCTCCAGCATGTGCAGATCTGCTAGCTCCAAAGCCCAAAGAGTGAAGGAACTGGGGAATGGGAAATCCTGGAGGGTTTTAGGAGCTGGAAATGGGAGGCAGAGGGGCAGGGAAGGGTGTGCATCCAGCGCTGTGTGGCACAGCAGCTCTGAGTGGCAGAGGCCCTGTGCCAGTGCTGGGTTTGGGCCCTGGGCACTGCTGGGTGCCCACGTTGGCTGCAGGGCGATGGTTTGGTGCCCTCTAAGCGTCCCAAAGGGGGGTGGCACTGGTTGGGTCGGTGCGCCGTGTGTAGTGTGGGTTCACCAAAGGCTCTCCGTGCCTTTGGGGAAGTGCTGCATTGCGCCCTGCTGTGCCCCTGGGGGGGGGAGAGGGGAGGGGGGGGCATCACCTGGGGGCATTGCTGCACCTGCAGGCATTGCTGCACACACAGGGCAGGTGCCAGGGGCGAAGCAAACCCTGCATGGGGCCGCGCCGAGCACCCAGACCCACGGGCAGGGGGGGAGCTGGAGAAGCAGGCGGTGGAGAGGGCTGGTTGTGCGCCGTGCGCCGTGCACCCCTCCCTGCCTCCCCCCCCTTGATGCCGGGTGGAGGATGAAGAGGAGGAAGGAGCCGTGGAGGATGTGGGGCTCGTGATGCACCAAGCGGCGGCGGTGGAGCGCTCACGAGTGGACTGTGACAGCTCCAGAGCTTCCAAGCAGGAAAAGCCCAAAGCCGCTAATCCTCCCTGCGCGCCCTTCCGGCTCTGTGGGGCCGGAGGGTCACCTCGGTGAGGATTTACACCAGCATCCCCCCAGTTCTGCCAGGACCCGGAGCACCCATGAGGAAAGGATGCTCTGTGGTTCCCCCCCTGACCTTCATGCGAACAGAAGCTGCAGGTGGAGGGGGGAGATCCCACAGAGGCGGGAGGGGAAGCTTCCGCTCCCCTCGGAAACCTCCAGCGCTCTCCTCCGTCTCCAAAGCATCGCCAACTTTGCACCGATTCCACTCAGTCCTCATTGCTGCAGCTCTTGTCGGGAGCAAACCCCCCTCCCCCAGGAGCAGGATGTATCCATATTCCTGCAGTAACTCTGGACAGACCCCCCCCCCAGATTGGTGCTCGGAGAGTTTGAGGCGCTCCAAATACGCTCCTTTGTGGACCGATGGGAGCAGGTCGTGCCTCTGTGCTCACCCTGTGCTGTTCTTGAGGGTGAAATGATGGAAATAAACCACCTGTGAACCGGGATGGCACACGGAGAGGGGATGGAGATGCACCTCCCAACACGAGGCAGCCCCCGGCCCCACCAACACTGCACAAAGTGGCCCCCAGGTACTGCAGGACGCAGCCCCCAGTCCCCTGAATACTAGACAGGAGGAAGACCCCTGCCCACGGGCACGAGATCCCCTTTTCCATCGCAGGAGGCAGCCCTGCACTCCTGTGCATTGCTTGAGTCAGCTTCAAGACCCGTCCTGCTGCATGAGGCAGCCCCCAGACCTTCGCCTGCTGCACAAGCTGGGGCAGAAACCCCTGCTCTTGTGCCCTAGCACGATGAAGGGCAGAGACCCCCCTGCCCACCACAGCAGATAAGGGAAAGACCCCTGCCCACTGCACGAGATAGGGTAGACACCTCCCAGCCACGTTCCCATTGCACGAGGAAGGGCGCAGACCCCTGCCCCTCACAGGAGGCAGCCCCCAGACACCTGCCCACAGAATGAAGGGCACAGACCCCTGCCCATCACAGGAGACAAAAGAGAGCCCTGCCAATGTGCCCACTGCAAAGGACAGAGCAGAGACCCCTGCCCATTGCAGGAGGCAGCGCCCAGCCCCTTGCCCATGGTAGGAATCAGGGCAGAGCCCCCTGCCCGCGTCCCCCTGGCAGGAGGTAGGGCTCTGCACGCCATGGCTGAAGTGTTCCCCGTCCATCCATCCCCACCCTGCAGTGCTCACTTTTCCACCATGCCTTTCTGCTTACGTGTGCGGATGCCGTCCCGACCAAAGCGCCTTCATGGCACAGAGTCCGGCCCTCTGCTTGGCCAAGAGGGCTCGAGGGGACAGGAACTCAGGATGTGGGGCAGCACCATTTCCTACAAACCCTACCCAGGTTTTGGCCACGATGCCCAGTGGGCAGCGGGGGGCTCACCCAGCTCTGTGAGCCAGTGTCATATCCCAGCGTCCCGATGCCTTCCCGCTGGGATTTTGGGGCTGACCCCAACCCCGTCCCTCTGGCGAAAGCCCCCCCGTTTTGTTTGTTGTCAAACAGAGACGGCGAGCAATGGAGAGTGGAGGGCATGGGGTGTTCCGTGCCCACAGCCTGCAGGGACTGGGCTGTGCCGTGAGTGAGCGGGGGGGAAGTGAAACCATTTTGGGCATTTGGCACACGTGTGTGTGTGTGTGTGTGGCACTGCCGGGCAGCAGGGACGGGCCTGTGTCCATGGGGCTGTGGCAAAGCAGGCACTGCTGGTGCTGCAGGACGTGCCAGGGCTCCAGGGAGCTGCGGGTGGAAGGGGAGGCTGTGCCACAGTGCGGGCGGTGAGCCAGAGGAGGGGTCACCTCCCTGGGATCTTGTGGGGGCCCCTTTGTGGGTGCTGCCTGTGCCGTCCCCTCCAGGACGAAGGGCGATGGATGGGGACACGGTGCTGGTGGGGACATGGGGACGTGGTGGTGGTGGGATACCTGGTACTGGTGAGGACAGGGCTGGTGGGGACTGAGCTACTTCTGTTGGGCGAAGAGCAGTGGGCACGGCTTGGGGCAGCGCTCGGACGCCCCTGGCAGGCTAAGGGCTGGGCTCCGTTTTGGCACAAAAAGCCTAAATTCAATGAAATTCCCTTTGCTGAACGCACTCAGGGCTGAGACCCTTCGTGGTGCTCTCCCCCTATCCGCAGCCCACCCCAAAGCCCACGCTGACCCCTGAAGCAGAAGCACGAGAGGCAGCGAAAATGGGGAGGGGGCACCGAGAGCAGCTGGGAGCTCAGGGGGGTGGCAGAGGTCGCAAATGAGATGGGGGCCAAACCTCCTGTCAGGCTCTCGCAACCTGCACCCAGCGGCTGCCCCAGACCCCATCCAGGGGGATGGGGACAACCCAGTGCTGGGTTTGTAGCCCAGAAGGGGCCAAAGGAGCTCAGCGTTTGCTCAGCTGGTGGTGATGGAGCCCGGTGCTCAGAGTCCTGCCCCACTGCCACAGGGAGGATGAATGACTCCATTCCAAAGCAGAGCAGGGTGGGCACCCCTGGCGGCACCGAGCACCCAACCGAGCTCTGCCCATTGCACCAGGAACCCTACCAGCTGGGAACCAAGTGCAGCTCCCGTCCGGTGGGTCGGGGGTGTGGGCAGCTCCCAGCAGAGCCCAATCCTACAGCAGGGCTCAGCTCTGCCCCAGGACGGCAGCACGGTGCGACCCCGGTGCCTGAAGCAGTGCAATGGGGCCGGGCAGCCCCTGCTGACCCCGCAGCTTCCCCACAGTATCTGGAGATGGGCCGGCTACGCAGCCCCATAATTTACTGTTCCTGCTGCACTTAATGGCAGCGGAAAGGCAAGGTGATAGGGGAAAAAATATGAGGCGGGATTTTCCGAATCCCCATTTCCTCTCCAGACAGCACAAGAACTCCTGGGGCCCGAACATCTGGGAAATTTAATTTTACCATTTCGGAGCTGAACTCCCCTTCCCCTCCCCTCCCCACCCCCGGTAACAAAGGAAGAGTCAGAGCCGGGGCCGCACGTGCAGCGTGGGGGAGGCTGCACCGGCAGTGCAGCAGAGCGGCTCCGGCACAGCCACGGCACGGCCACAATGGAAAAGGGTGCGCGGTGCCAGCAGGAGGCACAGAGAACCATGGAACAGTTGGGCTGGAGGGGTCCTTAAAGATCACAGAATTGGCTGAGTTGGAAGGGTCCTTAAAGATCATAGAGCCATGGGATGGGTTGGGCTGGAGGGGTCCTTAAAGATCACAGAATTGGTTGAGTTGGAAGGGTCCTTAAAGAGCGTAGAGCCATGGGATGGGTTGGGCTGGAGGGGTCCTTAAAGATCACAGAATTGATTGAGTTGGAAGGGTCCTTAAAGATCACAGAGCCATGGGATGGGTTGGGCTGGAGGGGTCCTTAACGATCAGAGAATTGGTTGAGTTGGAAGGGTCCTTAAAGATCATAGAGCCATGGGATGGGTTGGGCTGGAGGGGTCCTTAACGATCAGAGAATTGGCTGAGTTGGAAGGGTCCTTGAAGATGGTAGAGCCATGGGATGGGTTGGGCTGGAGGGGTCCTTAACGATCACAGAATTGGCTGAGTTGGAAGGGTCCTTAAAGATGGTAGAGCCATGGGATGGGTTGGGCTGGAGGGGTCCTTAAAGATCACAGAATTGGCTGAGTTGGAAGGGTCCTTAAAGATGGCAGAGCCATGGGATGGGTTGGGCTGGAGGGGTCCTTAAAGATCACAGAATTGATTGAGTTGGAAGGGTCCTTAAAGATCACAGAGCCATGGGATGGGTTGGGCTGGAGGGGTCCTTAAAGATCACAGAATTGGTTGAGTTGGAAGGGTCCTTAAAGATCATAGAGCCATGGGATGGATTGGGCTGGAGGGGTCCTTAAAGATCACAGAATTGGTTGAGTTGGAAGGGTCCTTAAAGATGGTAGAGCCATGGGATGGGTTGGGCTGGAGGGGTCCTTAAAGACCACAGAATTGGTTGAGTTGGAAGGGTCCTTAAAGATCATAGAGCCATGGGATGGGTTGGGCTGGAGGGGTCCTTAAAGACCACAGAATTGGTTGAGTTGGAAGGGTCCTTAAAGATGGTAGAGCCATGGGATGGGTTGGGCTGGAGGGGTCCTTAACGATCAGAGAATTGGCTGAGTTGGAAGGGTCCTTAAAGAGCGTAGAGCCATGGGATGGGTTGGGCTGGAGGGGTCCTTAAAGATCACAGAATTGATTGAGTTGGAAGGGTCCTTAAAGATCACAGAGCCATGGGATGGGTTGGGCTGGAGGGGTCCTTAACGATCAGAGAATTGGTTGAGTTGGAAGGGTCCTTAAAGATCATAGAGCCATGGGATGGGTTGGGCTGGAGGGGTCCTTAAAGATCACAGAATTGGCTGAGTTGGAAGGGTCCTTAAAGATGGTAGAGCCATGGGATGGGTTGGGCTGGAGGGGTCCTTAACGATCAGAGAATTGGTTGAGTTGGAAGGGTCCTTAAAGATCATAGAGCCATGGGATGGGTTGGGCTGGAGGGGTCCTTAAAGATCACAGAATTGGCTGAGTTGGAAGGGTCCTTAAAGATCATAGAGCCATGGGATGGGAAGGGTTGGATGGGTCCTTACAGGTCACAGAAGCACAGCATGGTTGGGTTGGAAAGGACCTCAAAGTCCCCCTGCCGCAGCCCCACTCCTGCTGTGGGCTGGTTGCCCCCCACCGGATCAGGTTGCCCAAGGCCCCGTCTAGCTTGGCCATTTCCATCAAGAGGAAAGGAGAAGCAGCAGCTCTGCTTGCGCCCACCTGGCCAGGGCAGTGCTGGTGGTACTGGGGGAACTGGTAATGGTAGCAATGACAGCAGTGGTGGTGTTTGTGGTGTGGTCAGTGTGCTGTAGATGGTGGTTGGTGTTGGTGGTACCGGTAATGGCAGCAGTGGTGGGGTGGCATTGGTGGTGACGGTGGTGATAGCGGTTTGGTGACGGCGGTGGTGGTGCTGGTGGTTGGATACGAGGAACAATTTCTTCCCCAAAGAGTGGTTGGGCAACTGGCATGGGCTGCCCAGGGAGAGGTGGGGTCACCGTCCTTCGGGTGTCCCGTAACTGTGGACAATGTGGCACCTGGGGACGTGCTCAGTGGGCACGGTGGGACGGCTTGGGGTTGGACTGGGTGACCTTGGAGGTCTTCTCCAACCTTAACGATTCTGTGCCACTGGTGGTGGCGATGGTGGTGCTGGTGACAGTGATGAGGTTCCCCCGGCTCTGGGACTCCACTGTCTGACTGCTGGGGACGGTGGGAGGACCCCACGGGGACACGGGGCAGCTTGCTGCTGGCAATCCCAGCCCGGGGGCTGGTTCTCTCACTCACTCACCCTCTTCCCTCTTCTCTACAGAGTAAAGACCGCGACAGGAAGACGGCGATCCGGAGCTAGGCGCCTCCGGGAAAGGCGGCACGGAGGAGCGGAAGGACGGACGGATGGACGGACGGAAAAGCCACACACACCGAACCACGGACACACTCCCGCCTTCACCCCGCTGCCAGGGACAGGACCCTGCCCCTATGGGGCCGTGGGGCCGGGCTGTGGGGACGCCCCGCTGGGACTGAGCCACGCTGGGGATGCTGCCACTGGGACCGACCGCTGCCCACGCTGTCCCCTCCAGCTTTGAGCCACGCCATCCCCTGAACTGAGGCCTGGGGTGCTGCATTTGTTGAGTTTAATCAATACATGCTGGTGTTTCATGTCATTGATACGATAATATAAAGCCTGAGCAGCTCGTATAATTAAAAATGGGTACGGTTCAGAGCCAAGGCAGAAGCCTCCTTCCTTCCAGCCCAGCGCAGCCCCGGTTCCGCAGCGCCAGGAGCTCCGTGCCGTGCCGGAGCCTGGCTGCAGCAGCAGGTAAAGGCAGCCTTGGTGAGGACCAGATGCTGCAGCTGGGCCGGGTTTCCTGGGGAAATCAATTACACGTGCAGCGCTGTGAGCCCGGCGCTCCCCCCGGCACGGCTTGCTCGGCAGGCCTGCAGGCTGCAGGGCAATGAAGCTCCCCAGCATCACTGGTGGGTCGAGGGCACGGGGATCTGTGGGACGAGGCTCAGAGCGACGCTGGGGGTGCGTGCAAAATGGGGATGGGGGAGGTGGGGGATGGGGCACGGTGTGTGGAGGAGCCCCGGGGATCTGCTGGGCGATGGGGGCTCAGCAGAAGGAGCCTGGCCATCGCCTGTCCCATAGCAAATGTGGACTGGGAAAGCCCAGGTCAGCGCTGCGCAGAGGAGCCTGGTGATGGCAGCCGGAGCTACGACATGTGGCATCTCCCATCTCGGGTGGGAGCAGCACCTTCTGGCTTAGGTCAGCATGGCATCTCCCCTGCTGCAGCATCTTCCGTGTCAGGACCATGCAGCATCTCCTGTCCTGGGACTGTACAGCATCTCCCATCTCGGGACTCCGTGGCATCTCCCGTCTTGGGGGTGTGCAGCACCTCCCACTGTGAGTCCACACGGCGCCTCCAATCCGCACCATCTCCCACCTTGGGACAACAAGGAATCTCCCATCTTGGGACACCGTGCCGTTTCCCACCTTGGGATCACGTGGCACATCCCATCTTCTGTGGTTTTTCTGTCCTGGGGCCACCCAGCATCTCCCATCTCAGGACGCCGTGGTATCTCCCATCTGGGGAACGTGCAGCATCTCCCATCTTGGGACCCTATGGCACCTCCCATCTTGTGTGGCATCTCCCATCTCGTGCAGCATCTCCCAGGTCCATGCAGCATTTCCTGTCTCAGGACCAGGTGGCATCTCCCATCTCAGGAATGTCAGCATCTCTTATCTCTTATCTGATTTCCCACATAGGGACTGGGCAGCACGTCCCACTTTGTGTAGCATTCTCCCATCTTGGGACGGTGTGAAACCTCCCATCTCAGGACACTGTGCCACCTCCGATCTCACGGCCATGTGGCATCTCCCATCTTGTGTGGCATCTCCCACCTTGGGATCGCACGGCACCTCCCATCTCATGCAGCATCTCCCATTTCAGCAGCACAGAATTCCCCATGGTGGAACCACGTGGCATCTCCCACCCTTGCACCACACGGAATCTCCCACCTCAGCACACTGCAATATCTCCCATCTTGGCAATGTGCAGCATCTCCCACATTGGGACACTGCGCCATCTCCTCTTTTGGGACCAGGTGGCATCTCATATCTTGGGACAAATGGCATCTTCCATCTTGGGAAAGCGCAGCATCTCTTGAGAAGAGTAGCATTTCCCATGTTGGCATTGCTTGGCATCTCCAGTCTTAGAATCGTGTGATATCTCCCACCTGATGTAGCGTTCGCCCATCTCCCATTTTGGGAACACATGACATCTCCCATCTTGGGACCATATGGAACCTCCCATCTCAGGACACGGTGCCACCTCCCATCTTAGGACCATATGGAACCTCCCATCTCAGGACACGGCGCCATCACCCATCGTGGGACCACTTGGCATCTCCCATCTCAGGACATGGTGCCATCTCCCATCTTGGGACCAGATGGAACCTCTCATCTCAGGACATGGTGCCATCTCCCATTTTGGGACCACATGGAACCTCCCATCTCAGGACATGGTGCCGTCTCCCATTTTGGGACCATATGGGACCTCCCATCTCAGGACATGGTGCCATCTCCCATCTTGGGACCATATGGAACCTCCCATCTCAGGACATGGTGCCATCTCCCATCTTAGGACCATATGGAACCTCCCATCTCAGGACATGGTGCCATCTCCCATCTTAGGACCATACGGAACCTCCCATCTCAGGACATGGTGCCATCTCCCATCTTGGGACCAGATGGAACCTCCCATCTCAGGACACGGTGCCATCTCCCATCTTGGGACCATATGGGACCTCCCATCTCAGGACATGGTGCCATCTCCCATCTTAGGACCATACGGAACCTCCCATCTCAGGACATGGTGCCATCTCCCATCTTAGGACCATATGGAACCTCCCATCTCAGGACATGGTGCCATCTCCCATCTTGGGACCATATGGAACCTCCCATCTCAGGACATGGTGCCATCTCCCATCTTGGGACCATATGGAACCTCCCATCTCAGGACATGGTGCCATCTCCCATCTTAGGACCATATGGAACCTCCCATCTCAGGACATGGTGCCATCTCCCATCTTGGGACCAGATGGAACCTCCCATCTCAGGACATGGTGCCATCTCCCATCTTGGGACCATACGGAACCTCCCATCTCAGGACACGGTGCCATCTCCCATCTTAGGACCATACGGAACCTCCCATCTCAGGACATGGTGCCATCTCCCATCTTGGGACCAGATGGAACCTCCCATCTCAGGACATGGTGCCATCTCCCATCTTAGGACCATATGGAACCTCCCATCTCAGGACATGGTGCCATCTCCCATCTTGGGACCAGATGGAACCTCCCATCTCAGGACACGGTGCCATCTCCCATCTTGGGACCATATGGGACCTCCCATCTCAGGACATGGTGCCATCTCCCATCTTGGGACCATATGGGACCTCCCATCTCAGGACATGGTGCCATCTCCCATCTTGGGACCAGATGGAACCTCCCATCTCAGGACATGGTGCCATCTCCCATTTTGGGACCATATGGGACCTCCCATCTCAGGACACGCTGCCATCTCCCATCTTGGGACCATATGGGACCTCCCATCTCAGGACACGCTGCCATCTCCCATCTTGGGACCATATGGGACCTCCCATCTCAGGACATGGTACCATCTCCCATCTTGGGACCAGATGGAACCTCCCATCTCAGGACACGGTGCCATCTCCCATCTTGGGACCATATGGAACCTCCCATCTCAGGACACGGTGCCATCTCCCATCTTGGGACCATATGGGACCTCCCATCTCAGGACATGGTACCATCTCCCATCTTGGGACCAGATGGAACCTCCCATCTCAGGACATGGTGCCATCTCCCATCTTGGGACCATATGGGACCTCCCATCTCAGGACATGGTGCCATCTCCCATCTTGGGACCAGATGGAACCTCCCATCTCAGGACATGGTGCCATCTCCCATCTTGGGACCATATGGGACCTCCCATCTCAGGACACGGTGCCATCTCCCATTTTGGGACCACTTATCATCTCCCATCTCAGGACATGGTGCCACCTCAGGACCCCACGTACAGCATTCTCCCACCTTGGGAGCAATGGCACTTCCTTCCCTCCTTCCCTCCCTTCTTCCCTTCCTGGCAGCCGCACTCAGCAGCCAGAAAAGCCGAGGGGAGCAGGGATGGCTCCATGCTGCTGGGGGGAACACAGCTGTGGCTCCACAGGGGATGGGCAGTGGGGACCCCTGCCTCAGTGTGGGGTCGGGGGCTTCACGCCGGGATTCTGCTGCTCAGAGGTGGAAATGTTGGTATTTTTACTTTGGATATGAGCAGTTTTGAAGCTGGAGAAAGGGGTTTGGAAGGCTCCCTGCCTCTCAGGCCGCGCTCAAAGGCACACGAAGCGGTGATGGATCCTCTTCAAATGAAACCGGGAGGCGCTGGGGAGGAAATGCTCAGCAGAGCCCTCTTGGGTGCTGCAGATGAGGTCGTAGCTCTCAGCACTTCAGCACTGCTGCGCCGAGGCCAGAGGATGCAGCTCTGAGCTGCAGTCACACGGGACAGGAACCACACAAGGGCAGGACCCACAAAGGAACAGGACAGGACCCACACAGGGACAGGAACCATGCAGAGACAGGACCCACGCAGGGACAGGACCCACGCAGGGACAGGACCCACGCAGGGACAGGACCCACGCAGGGACAGGACCCACGCAGGGACAGGATCCACACAGGGACAGGAACCATGAAGGGACAGGATCCACAAAGGAACAGGACAGGACCCATGCAGGGACAGGAACCATGAAGGGACAGGACCCACGCAGGGACAGGAACCATGAAGGGACAGGACCCACAAAGGAACAGGACAGGACCCACACAGGGACAGAAACCATGCAGGGACAGGACCCTCAAAGGGACAGGACCCACGCAGGGACAGGACCCACGCAGGGACAGGAACCATGAAGGGACAGGACAGGACCCACGCAGGGACAGGACCCTCAAAGGGACAGGACAGGACCCACACAGGGACAGGACCCTCAAAGGGACAGGACAGGACCCACACAGGGACAGGAACCATGAAGGGACAGGACAGGACCCACGCAGGGACAGGAACCATGAAGGGACAGGACAGGACCCACGCAGGGACAGGAACCATGAAGGGACAGGACAGGACCCACGCAGGGACAGGACCCACGCAGGGACTGGATCCATGAAGGGACAGGATCCATGAAGGGACAGGACAGGACCCTCAAAGGGACAGGACCCTCAAAGGGACAGGACCCACACACGAGGCCGCAGTGCTGGCGCTGCCATGGGTCCTCTTCTCCACCCAGCACAGCTTTGCTCCGTGAAGTCATAGGTGGCAGCATGGGCATCTGCTGGGTGTGGGATGGGCAGCACGCAGCAAGCCCCCTTCCCTGCATGGTCATTGCAGCCCATGTTCAGCTCCTGGCATTGCTCCTTTGCACCTACTCTGCTGCTTCCACCTTTGCATGGCGTTCTTCTGCCTTTGCACACTTCATTTTTGCATTTGCACGGCCCATCTCTGCCTTTGCAAGGCTTGCTTCCATACTTGCATGGATTGTTTCCACTTTTGCACAATTTGCTCCCACCTTTGCATGTTTTTGTTTCTGCCTTTGCATGGTTTTGTTTCCACCCTTGCACAGCTTGTTTCCACCTTTGCATGGCTTGTTTCTGCCTTTGCAGTTTGCTTCTGCATTTGTTTCTGCAACTTGTTTCCACCTTTGCACAGCTTGTTTCCACACTTGCACGGCTTGTTTCCACCCCTGCAAGGCTCATGTCTGCCTTTGCACAGTTTCTACCCTTGCACTCTTTGTTTCTGCATTCGCACGGCCTCTCCCTGACTTTGCACAACTTCTTCCCTTATTTCCACAGCTTATTTCCGTACTTGCATGGATTGCTTCTGCCTCTGCACAGTTTGCTTCTGCATCTGCACGGCTTGATTCCACCTTTGCATGGTTTGTTTCCACCTTTGCACGGCTTGCCCCTGCATTTGCACACCTTGCTTCCCTATCTGCACGCTGGGCTTCTTCATTTGCCCCCCACCATGGGGGGCAGCGACCCCCAGAGCCCCAAACCAAAGCACTCAAGCTGGGATGGCAGTGCAGCTCCACGGCAGGAGCTCAGCACCGGACCCCCAATAGCACAGAGCCCCCTCATAGCAGAGCTCTGCTCATTGCTGCTCTGCTGCTCATTGCCTGCACCCCTCGTCCTGCAGCAGGAGCTCGGGACCCCAGAACGAGGCACGCAGCCCCCCCCCCCCTCCAGGTCCCCCCCACACGTGGCTGCAGCTCCCGATGATCGCTTCCATGCATCCCCCAGGCCTCTGCCCCACGGCGTGCAGCTGGCAGCCGTTAAAGCCATGCAGGTGGCAATTATGGGGCAGCTGGGAGAGAAAGCTGTGCGGGGTCTCTTGGAAGAAAGGAAGGGGTTCAGCCAGCAGCCCCCAACCCCCCCCCCCCCCCCCGCATCACCGGGTGCTCCTCACACCCAAGCCATGGGGAATCATGAATCGGGGCATGGAGGTGGTCGGTGACCCCTCTGGGGACATAAGCCCTTTTGCTCCCCCCCTATAGTGCTGGGGGGGAGATATTGGGGAGCTAGGTGGGGAAAACTGGGGTACTGGGGGGGGGGGGACAATGGGAGGTGGGAAGATGATGGGAAATGGGGAGTTTGGGGCATTGGGGGGATGCTGGAGGAGACTTTGGAAGCTGGTGGAGATGTTGGGCACTGGGAAGGTCTGCGGGAGATTTTGGGAGCTGGGGAGGATTGCTGGGCACTGGGGGGATGCTGGGCACTGGGGGGATGCTGGGCACTGGGGGAGATGCCAGGAGGGTCTGTGGGAGATTTTGGGAGCTGGGAAGGATTGCTGGGCACTGGGAGGATGCTGGGCACTTGGGGAGATGCCAGGAGGGTCTGTGGGAGATTTTGGGAGCTGGGGAGGATTGCTGGGCACTGGGGGGATGCTGGGCACTGGGGGAGATGCCAGGAGGGTCTGTGGGAGATTTTGGGAGCTGGGAAGGACGCTAAGCAATGGGGGGATGCTGGGGGGGGCTGAAGGATGCTGGGCATTGGAGAGATGCTGGGGAACTGGGGGTGATGAGAACTGGGGGGGGGTGCTGGGGAACTGAGAGAAGTCTGGGGGAGATGCTGGGAGCTGGGGGGATGCTGGCTGGCTGGCGGAGGTCTGGGGGAGATTTTGGGAGCTGAGGGGGGTGCTGGGGGACGCTGGGCACTGGGAAGATTCCGGGGAGCTGGCAGGGATGTAGGGAGCACAACCGGTCCGGAGGAGCCCTCGGTCCCCCCAAATCCTTCACGTCTCTGGAAGAGAGCGGAGCCTTTGCACACCTCCGTGCACCCACGGGTGCTCAGGGCTCAGCAGCCACCCCGGATTGTTGTGCACCCACACCCCACACAGCTACGGGGCTCCAGGAGCCCTCGGAGCGGGACGTGGCTGCAAATGGGGCCGCATCCAACGGCGGAGCTGAGCAGAACAAACCCCATAATGGCAGGTTCAGCATCGCAGTAACCCAACGCCGCGTTTCCTCCTCCTAATCCGCAGGAACCGCAGAGGGATGGGGGGAGGGGGCACAGGGCTGGGTGGGTCCCCACAGTGCTGTGTCCCCATGACGTTCATATCCCTGCAATGCTCATGCCCCCACAACACCTGTGTCCCCACAACGCTTGTGTCCCTGCAACATTCCTGTCTCCGTGATGCTTGTGTCCCCATGACATTCGTGTCCCTGCGATGCTCCTGTCCCCACAGTGCCTATGTGCCTCCCAAGTTTGTGTCCCCACGATGCTCCTGCCCCTGCAATATTCATGTCCCCGTGATGCTCGTGTCCCTGTGATGCTCCTGTCCCCACAATGCTTGTGTCCCCACAACATTCACATCCCCACAACGCTCGTGTCCCTGTGATGCTCCTGTCCCCACAATGCTTGTGTCCCTGTGATGCTCCTGTCCCCACAATGCTTGTGTCCCCACAACATTCACATCCCCACAACGCTCGTGTCCCTGTGATGCTCCTGTCCCCACAATGCTTGTGTCCCTGTGATGCTCCTGTCCCCACAATGCTTGTGTCCCTACAACATTCACATCCCCACAACGCTCGTGTCCCTGTGATGCTCCTGTCCCCACAATGCTTGTGTCCCCACAACATTCACATCCCCACAACGCTCGTGTCCCTGTGATGCTCCTGTCCCCACAATGCTTGTGTCCCTGTGATGCTCCTGTCCCCACAATGCTTGTGTCCCCACAACATTCACACCCCCACAACGCTCGTGTCCCTGTGATGCTCCTGTCCCCACAAGCTCAAGTCTCCGTGACACACGTGTCCCTATGACACGTGTGGTCCTGCAGTGCCCACGTCCCCATGACAGGTATCCCACACTCACGTCCCCCACAACACATACCTCTGTAACACTCCTGTCCCCGTGACGCTCACATCCCTACAACACCCACACCCCACAAAATCAACCTCCCACAGCACCGGTGCCCCTGTGATGCCGATGTCCCCACGATGCCAACATCCCCCACATCCCTACACTTCCCTGGGGCTTCCTCACCACCCCCCCCACGGGTACCCAGGACCTGCACGAAGCTCTCAGAGCACGTAGCAGGGAGAGGAGCGAAGCCAGCGCCGAGCCACCCCGGTGCCCAGAAGCACTCAAGGCACGCACTTGGCTGCGGGAGGCGCTCAGCATCACATCACCGCCCTGGAATTTGGGGACGGGCACACAGCCCTGAGCTCAGATACTGCTGGTGACACCGTGCTCAGAAGCCCCCAGAGGGTCCCACAGCCACACAGACCCCCATCCGGGTCGCGGCGCCGGGGCAGAGCCGCACTTCACCCCATGGGTCCCGGAGGTGCTCGCACCGCTCCGCCTGCACCTGCGCAGCCGCCAGGAAACACGTGCGACCCCGCTGCTCTGCTGCCCCTTGCTTCCTCTGATTTAGGGTCTGCGAGCCACCTCCCTCCTCCTCCCCCGACCCCAATGCGTGCCAGCTGGGATCCCGGCGGGGCAGGTGCTGCTGAAGCCTCCCAGGGGGAATGGGGAACCCCACTGGGGCAGGCACTGCTGAACTCTTCCCCCCAGAAGAACGGGAATCCTCTATTGGGGCGGGTGCTGCAGAACTATCCTCCCATGGGGAATGGGGATCCCACACTGGGACAGGCGCTGCTGAACCCCTACCCAGAAGAATAGGGATCCTCCTTTAGGGCAGATGCTGCAGAACTATCCTCCATGGGGAACGGGGACACCTCATTGGGGCAGGTGCTGCTGAACCCCTCCCCAGAGGAACGGGGATCCCCCATTAGGGCAGATGCTGCTGAACCACCCCCCAGAGGAATGGGGATCCCCCACTGGGACAGGCGCTGCTGAACCCCCACCCAGAAGAATAGAGATCCCCATTAGGGCAGATGCTGCAGAACTATCCTCCCATGGGGAATGGGGATCCCACACTGGGACAGGCACTGCTGAACCCCCACCCAGAGGAACGGGGATCCCCCATTG